ATCCTAATGCAAGGTGCTAGCAATAGAGTTATAGACTTTAAGTAATAATGACATATCTCTGTTTTTCATTAGGAAATGGCCAAAAGTCTAGTCCTTAAAGAAATGACATAGAGAACATCTTAATCTACAAAGGACATAATAACCCAAATTGTATGTTGTCTTTTGGTGAACCAGACAAATCAAAGCTGGCCAAGATTGGTAAACAGTAAATGTTTACATTTTGAAAACTTGCACTGTGGTTTTAAAAAGTCCTGGTTGAATTAATTTACATTCCCACCAATAATGTAAAAGTGTTCCTATTTCTGTGCAACCTTGCCAGCATCTATTGTTTCTTGATTTTTTTAATAAATGCCATTCTGACTGGCAGGAGAAGATGGTGTGGAGTTTCCTCAAAAATCTAAAACTAGAAATACCATTTGACCCAGCAATCCCATTACTGGTGTAACCACCCCCCGCCCCCTCAAAATAATTCTATTACAGAAATACATGCACACATATGTTCATTGCAGCCCTATTCACAATGGCAAAGACTGGAATCAACCCAAATGCCCATCAATGATAGACTGAATAAAGAAAATGTGGTACATATACACCATGGAATACTATGCAGCCATAAAAAGGAAAAGGATTATATTTTTTGAAGGTACATGGATGGAGCTGGAAGGCATTATCTTCAGCAAATTAACACAGGAACAGAAAACCAAACACTGCATGTTCTCACTTATAAGTGGGAGCTGAACAATGAGAACACATGGACACAGTGACAGGAACAACACATACTTTTGGGGACATTGGGTGGGGAGGGAGAGCATTAGGAAAAATAGCTAATGCATGCTGGGCTTAATATTTAGGTTATGGTTTGATAAGTGCTGCAGATCACTATGACACAGGTTTACCTAGGTGGTAAGCCTGTGCATCCTGCACATATACCCTGAAATTTAAAATTAAAAAAATAAAGTCCCAGTTGATGTCAATAAGAAAGCGACTAAAAAGTGTTACAGATGGACTCACACTGATATTTGATTTTATGATGATTTCCACTACAACATGAAGGTAAAGTTAAGTGTAGGGGATAAGTTACTTAGATATTTTAAAGATAAATTACTTACTAATAAGAAATTAGATACACTGCATTCTTTCACTTGCTGCAATAACAAATTCACAATGAAGACTATTTAAAAGAGATGCTCAACTCTGAAGATGGTGGTGGTGGCGATACTTTCCACTAAAGAATAAACTCCCATTTTCTCAGGCAATTAACATTGCTATTCTTCCATGATACATATTCATGTGGAAAAATTTGTCAGGAGCTTTTGCCAGAACCAGGAGATGAAAAGCAGAGCTTGTCCTAATTAGCTAATTATAAGCTCAGTTAACATCTTTGGAATGGACCCATAAAATCTGGCAATTATTTTGTTAAACATCTGCAAACTGCACAATTCCTTAGCCCTTAGCTGCAGTTTCTGCTCAATATCTTAAAGCTGGGCGTAGTCCCACTGTGACTTCTCTTCAAGCCTGAGATGAGTGCTAGTCATCAAAATCTGAAATGTCAGCATAAAAGTAATCCCAGCAGCTTTTGGATGCATGGTAGGTAATGCTCCGGTAGTAAAATCCTGGCAGGAATACTAAAATGCCAATGACAGGATGGGTTGGCATCATAACATGATGATACAGTTAGAGACAGAGCTTGCTCATGGGTGGCAGCAGAGATGCCTGAGACCACATGGTATAACCCATCTAACTGCCACTCCTCCTGCCCCAGAAGGCCACTCTCACTTTTTTTTTTTTTTTTTGCGACAGAGTTTTGCCCTTGTTGCCCAGGCTGAAGTACAATGGCACGATCTCAGCTCACAACAGCCTTTGCCTCCCAGATTTAAGCGACTCTTCTGCGTCTGCTTCCCAAATAGCTGAGATTACAGGCTTGTGCCACCATGCACAGCTACTGTTGTATTTTTAGTAGGGATGGGTTTCTCTATGTAGGTCAGGATGGTCTCGAACTCCTGACCTCAGGTGATCCTCCAGCTTCGGCCTCCCAAAGCGCTGGGATTACAGGCATGAGCCACCATGCCTGGCTTCCTTACTTTTATGTAGACTTTTTTTCTTCATTGTATTGCCCTTGTTAAGTTTTAATTAAATTCTCAGTAGCTTATTTTGCTTTCCCCCACTCAGTGTGGAACTCTTTTCTCAGTTTCAATAATTCATAGGGACTAAGTTGCTCTGATCCCTTCACATCTTCCTAACAGACAATTGTATTGGCTAGCTACAAAGTAGGCAAAACTCCTAGTTTTTGCTGCTGTTTTTAAACTGCGCCCTTATGAACCTTGTGTTCTCAGATCTTGAGCTGCCTGCTTGTTTCTCTAGGCTTCCATCTATACAAAGGTGGAGATAACACAGGGCTTGTAGCTACCATATTTTCTCCCCACCCACCAGCATTTCAGGTTTGTAGGGATAACATGCAACCTAATTATATTGTAAATTTCATCCATGGATTTCATTTTACTATTTAATTGCTCTGTTTTTCTTTATAAAGAAATTTGAGAGTAAATATTATATTACTGCCATCATTTTCCCAGAATCCCCTGTTTTTATGTTGAAGCCAATGTTTTTTATGATGGAAGTTTGTTTTACTAAATAAAAATAACCTTCTTCAGTGTTCCTATTTAAAGCTATTAGAAGTACTATAACAGCATCTTGCATGTAAAGTAGAACACATTTTGGCAGAATCTATGCCAACCTATTAAATTAAAGGAAAAGCAAAAACTAGAGCCAGAAACAGTGCATCAGACGTTTTAATACCAAGCAAGTATCTATTGGCTCGTACCACAAAAATCTGCACTGTAGACAAACTGCAATAAACCAAACTGACAGTTATTCAGTATCAGTCAGTTTAACGTCACCCAAAGAGCTAAAGCTTGTGATTTATCTTAAGCAAGAAAAGTAGTTAAAATAGTCAAGTCACTTTGTTTAATGCAGTTATGTATAAATTATTTAAAAAATGGCTAAATGTTAGCTAAGAAATCAGTCTGCAATACTTCTTTCGCTGCCCGATACCTCCCCTTGCACAGTCTCTTTACACGACTCACTCCCTTCCGTGTTCAAAGTTGCTAATGAATACATGTTAAAATGCTGTTCATTTATCAATAGTGGTATGGTAGATTAAATTTATTTTTCAATATTTTACAGAGGTTTTCATCAACTTTGCATCAGAAAAGGTGAGGCTAAATAAGAATTTACTGATGGAATAAATTATTTAAGTATTGAAATATTATATAGTACATATCATTTTATTTATCATTCTTCCAATAGCAAAATAATTAGAAAATGCCTATCAAGTGTGAAACTGTTAAATTGTAATGTCTCTATGCACATATGAATAATGTAAACAGAAGTATGAAAATGACATGAGAAAAAAAGCAGGCAACAAAACAATTCAAAAACATGTTTTATAAAAATATTTATTTCTGTATATTGTGCCATGTATATCTCTATGTACATGATTATTTACCTCTTTTTTTTAAAAGACTAGCAATGTTAATCATGATATCTCTGATTTTGAAGATTTGGGCCTCATTTTGTAGTAACAAAATGTATTATTTCCAAATGTTCTATTTTCTTTTATGTGAGCATGTACTAACATATAGATTAACCTATTTTGTTAACATTTGAAAATACCCCTTTTACAAGAATTTTCTATCATCTTTGGACTAAAATGTTAACTTGCTCAGCTTTTTCCAAATAGCTTCCATGCTTATGTCCAGAGAGAATGCACAGAAATGGTGCCATCGCCTAAGGCGGGATGACTATGGAAGGAGTAACATTGGTAAAAAGTTTCTGTGACAGGTGTCACAGATATACAAGTTTGGAGTTTAGAAATATATGCCAAAGTGAGAAATAAATCATGCCATACATTAACAGAATTGTCATTTTAAAAGCTGACAGTGTGTACGAGGTAAGAGACATGATTACTATTTAGGATACAATGATTAGTTATAAATTTTTCACTAAATAAAACATGTTAAGGACTAGTTACCATTAGCTTTTTTATGGCCTGCCTTTTTTATGGTCATCTGTCATGTCAACAAAAAGATGTTCAAGGGCTTCAACAAAATAACACACAAAGCCCTTCGCTTAAAATTTAATCAAAATTTAAGTGACCAGGAAGTCAGTTGAAATTAATCCAGATTTGGCAACTATGGTATAATAAAATTGTTAATGAAACCACTGAGACATGAAGTTAAGAGAAATGAGGAATATACATAAATAACTAAAAATATAGAAAGTAGCAAATGTCCCTTGAGAGATTATATGCAAAATTCAATTCAGTTTAGGGAATGGAAATTACTTCCATTGCAAAAGACCAGGGATACATAAAAAAGGTTACAGTGAAACTGGACTTTATTGGGTAATGTGGCTTTGAACACGGGAACAATGAGAGTAGTTAAGTAGTTATTTCAAAAAAGACTGTAACCGGGTTTTTTTCTTGGATGCCGGTGATCGTTGTGGGTACTTGGCCTCCAACCTTTTTTTTTTTTTTTTTTGAGACGAAGTTTCTCTCTTGTTACCAGTAGAGACGGGGTTTCACCATGTTGACCAGGATGGCCTCGATCTCTTGACCTCGTGATCCACCCACCTCGGCCTCCCAAAGTGCTGGGATTACAGGCTTGAGCCACTGTGCCCGGCTGGGCTCCAACCTTTTAAGGAATAAGCGGTGGGGCCACTGCAGGTCGACTGTATGCTCGTAAAAGTAAATAATTGGACCCAAAAAGTGTTGCAGAAAGGTGATTTTATTTAGGTAGAGAAAAGAGAAGGAAAGCAGAAGAAGAGAAAGGCTTCCAGGAAGAGTGTGGGCAGGGATTCCAGGAAGTTGGAAATCCAGCGCAGGTGAGGGAGCACGGACTTTTATCCTGGGAGAAACTCCCGCCTTCTCCCAAGACCCTGGGCCAATGAAAGGAGTGCCTTAGAACTTCCGCTGGAGTGATTGACTTTTAGTTTCTTCCTGTGCCGGGGAGATTCAAACATAAACCATTTAGTCTCCGGGATGGAGAGAGATGGGAGTGGGGCATGGCGCTGGAAAATTATTGCCCTTAAAGCTACGCCCCTCATGGATCCAGAAAGAGAACACATTCCTTCAAGACCACAGGGGCAAATACATAGGATGGATGAGGTGAGATGTTTGCACTTTTCACGAGTCCCTGTGAGAGCAGCAGGTTTTGGCAGGGGAGCATTGGGTTACTTAGCAGAACAGTTAGATTAGACTGGGTGGGCTTTCAAATGTAGAGATGCTTTCACCATCCTCCACCAAATGGACAATTGTTCTTTACAAATCCAACCCAATTATTTTATTTTATCATAAGAGAAATACATAATATGTTGCTTAAAACTTAACTTCAAAAATTTAGTAGCAGTTTTCTGATATTCAAAATAATTGTCAAGTAGAATTTCTGAAGAACGAGATCTGATGATTACACAATATCCTATAAGAAAAGATTAAGACAGGTAGGAAAATTAACAATTCATTAAGTAAACCAAGTATTTTAAAATGTACTTTTCTTCATATAATGAGAATGCTCATTCAAAAATATGATTATAAGACAGAGATTGCAAATCAATACCAATTAACTGTAAAGAAACTATATATAATTGAAAGAATTGCTTAAGATGTACATGTACTCAGAAGACATAAAAAGATAAAGTGCTCCAGTTTGGTCAACAAAGTGTAGTTTTTGAACATATTAACTTTAAAAAGCATTATTTCTCAAAATGAATTTGTATTAGTAATTAGTAAACACAAATGTGTTCTACATATTTGCAGAATGATGTATGCTGCATATGAACATATCTTAGCACATATATATATTTTCATAGACCTGTTACTTATTTCAGGTTCATGCTTATACCAATGTTAATATTAAATTGCTAAATATACAAAACAATAAAATAATTCAATACATATTTAATATAGAAAAGTTAAAAATGATCTGTTTTCAATTTATATTACCTTTAACATTTTATGTTCAGCTTGTTCCTACAAGTCTTTTGTCTCTCAATGTAATCAAGTTCTTCCTTTCTGAGCTTTTTTCTTTTTTTTAGAATGATTGCATAGACTATGTAAATTATTGTAAGTTCACAGTCAACATCTACAGGAAATTAAAACAGAGCTAAAGAAAATCAGGCAAAAAAGAGAGTAAATTTGGGAAAAAAAGAAACCCATTATAAAGACTCATTTTCATTACTTTTTCCTGTCTCATGACTATCTATACTTAGCATATACTCTCCCCAGTTTTCATTCTTTGAAAATGAACTCAAATGGCATTTTATAAATAATATTTTTATTTTCTGTTCTCCTGGAATGTGAGAGTCAGGCATCAGACAAATGTCATTTGTGTGTAATCCTTGCCGTTCTAACTTTTCACTGTGGCATGATATTTTGCCTATCAAGTCACTATTCTATCTTAAGAGAGGTAAGTGTTTCTGCTTTAGGAATGTCTGTAAGAATTTAATAAGCTGAGATATAATACATAATAAGCTAAGAATGATTACATGTTCTACCATAATATTCCTATGTTGTTCTATAAATCCTTTAACTTTCCAGTCTCTGTCCTCTGATTTTTTTTCCTTAAATGTACTTCAGTCAGATTTTTCCCCAAACATTGAAAATTTTCTTGAAAGGGCCATCAACTACCATTATGGCTAAATTCAATGTTATTTCTCAGTTCTCATCAAATTGCAGCTCTGTTTGATACAATTGATGACTCCCTCCCTACAAGAACTTTTTACTTTCTAGCTTTCAAGGCCACGCACCACCACTGATGTTTTCCTTCTTCAATTACTGACCACACCTCTTCAGTCGCACTCTCTGGTTTCTCTATATCTTCAACTCTTTAATATGGAAGGTGTCAAGGCCCACTGGCTCTCCTTTGTCTATGCTTGCTCCATGATAATCACAAGAAGCTTTATGTAGAAGACGCCCATATTTGCCTAATTGCCTACTGATATGGGCTGTGTCTCAGCCCAAACATCATCTTGAATTAATCCCCACATGTTGTGGAAGAGAACAGGTGTAGATAATTGAATCATAAAGGCAGCTTCCCCCATCCTGTTCTTATATATTGAGCTAGTTCTCATAAGATTTTATGGTTTTTTAAGGGGCTTCCCCCTTTGTTGGGCACTCATTCTTCTCCTCTCTGTCACTATGTGAATAAGAATGTGTTTGCTTTCCCTTCTGCCATGATGGTAAGTTTTCTGAGGCCTTCCCACCCCTGAAGAATTGTGAGTCAATTAAACCTCTTTTCTTTATAAATCACCCAGTATCGAGTATATCCTTATAGAAGCGTGAGAACAGACTAATACAGTCAATTGGTGCCAGGTGGTGGTGTGCTGCTTTATGTAGAGATACCTGAAAATGTAGAAGTGACTTTGGAACTGAGTAATAGGCAGAGGTTGGAATAATTTGGAGGGCTCAGAAGAAGACAGGAAAATGAGGGAAAGTCTGGAACTTCCTAGAGACTTGTTGAATGGCTTTGACCAAAATGCTTACAGTGATACGGACAATGAAGTCCAGCCTGAGGTGGTCTCACATGAGATGAGGAATTTCTTGGGAACTGGAGTAAAGTAGACTGGCGGCATTTTGCCCCTGCCCTAGAGATCTGTGGAACTTTGAATTTGAGAGAGGTGATTTAGGGTAGCTGGTGGAAGAAATTTCTAAGCAGCAAAGATTTCAAGAGGAAGCAGAGCATAAAAATTTGGAAAATTTACAGCCTGATGATGCAATAGAAAAGGAAACCTCATTTTCTGAGGAGAAATTCAAGCCTGCTGCTGAAATTTGCATAGGTGATGAGGCATCAAATGTTAATAACGAAGACAATGGGGAAAATGTCTCCAGGGTATGTTAGAGACCTTCACTGCAGCCCCTTCCATCACAAGCCTGGAGGCCTAGGGAGTAAATGGCTTCTTGGGCCAGGCCCAGGGCACCCCTGTTGTGTGCAACCTCAGGGCATGGTCCCTTGCATCCAGCTGCTTCAGCTCCAGCCATGGCTAAAAAGGACCAAGGTACAGCTCAGGCTATTGCTTCACAGGGTGCAAGCCCCAAGCCTTGTCAGCTTCCACATGGTGTTGGGACTGCAGGTGGACAGAAAACAAGAATTGAGGTTTGGGAACCTCTGCCTAGGTTTCAGAGGATATATGGAAATGCCTGGATGTTCAAGCAGGAGTATAGTGTAGTGGCAGATCCCTCATAAAGAATCTCTGCTAGGGCAATGCAGAAGGGAAATGTGGGGTTATAGCCCCTACACAGAGTCCCTACAGCCTAGTGGAGCTGGAGAGGAGGCCCACCATCCTCCAGACCTCTTAATGGCAGATTCACCAACAGCTTACACCGTGCACCTGGAAAAGCCACAGACACTCAACCCCAGCCATGAAAGCAGACTGGAGGGGGGACATATAACCTGCAAAGCCACAGGGCTGGAGCTCCCTAAGGCTCTGGGAGCCCACTTCTTGCATCAGAGTGCCTTGGATGTGAGACATGGAGTCAAAGGAGATCATTTTCGAACTTTAAGGTTTAATGACTGCCCTGTTAGATTCTGGACTTGCATGGGGCCTGTAGCCCCTTTGTTTTGGCCAATTTCTCCCATTTGGAACAGGTGTAACCACTCAGTGCCTGTGCCCCCGTTTTATTTAGAAAGTAATTAACTTGCCTTTGATTATACAGGTTCATAGACAGAAGGGACTTGCCTTGTCTCAGATGAGACTTTGGACTTAGACTTTTGAGTTAATGCTGGAATGAGTTAAGACTTTGGGACTGTTGGAAGGGCATGATTGTGTTTTGAAATGTGAGGATATGAGATTTGCAAGGGGACAGGGCAGAATGTTATGGTTTGGCTGTATCCCAACCCAAACCTCATTTTGAATTGTAGTTCCCATCATCCCCACAGGTTGCAGAAGGAACCAGCTGGAGATAATTTAATCATGCAGCATTCCCCCCACTGTGTTCTCATTATAGTGAGTGAGTTCTCACAAGATCTGATGGTTTTATAAGGGCTTCTCCCTTCACTGAGCACTCATCCTTCTTTTTCCTGCCACCATGTAAAAAAGAACATATTTGCTTCTCCTTCTGCCATGACTGTAAGTTTCCTGAGGCCTTCCCAGCTCTGCAGAACTGTGCACTAATTAATCCTCTTTCCTTTATAAATTACCCAGTCTTGGGCATGTCCTATAGCGGTGTGACATAACATTTTCCACCCCATTTTTTCTTTTTTTTTCAAGTTTGGTATTAACTTTATTCTATTTTCTGTATAACTTTAAGCACATAAAGGTTTATTTCCACAGGCCTCAGGAAATGGGTAGAAATCACAGGACAATCTCTCTTCCCACCAAATAAGTTGCATATTTTGGTGTTTGTCCTAGAGGGAAAAAACTGAACTTTACATTAGCAGTGCTGTGCAAGATTCTTACATAAATCAAGACCTAAAACCAGCCTGCAGTGGAGGTTTCAGTCCTCTGTTCAGGTGCTTGGACAGAAGCCATAGCTGATGAGCATGACAGGGAAAAGGAGGCAGTGAAGACAGGTGACAGGCACCTAGCAGGGAAGGAGGATTCAGGAATGCCAGACTCCTTGGAATGGTGTGTTTTTCCTTTTAAGTCATCTCTGTAGGAAGGTGCTGGACAGGAATCCCAGAGAAAGAAAGGGTCCAAGCCTCCTTTAACTGCCCTGGATGAAGGACACTGCCACAGCAGCTAGTACTGGAGACGCTCCTATGTCATGGTTAAGGCAGACCCAGGATGGAACAGAGAATAAAAGGAATGATTATAGGGAACAATTTTGCTTGGAATGCTAGATAGCCAAGCCTCAGCCTTTGGTCCAGTGCAACCCTTGCCTCACTTGTCAACAGTAAAAAATTAGTTTGGTTAGAAGAACCATCTGGAAACACATCAGCTTCTGCTATCTTCATGCTCATTGTTAGAAAAAGATTAACCATTGAGCAGAACAAATACTAAAAAAAAAAGAAAAAGAAAAAGATTAACCAGTGTGAACATTCTGATCTGTTAATTCCTGGGTCTCTTTTCAATGGACTGTTTGTTGGTAGAATAACCCCCAAAAGCTCAAAGCTAAAATGCATCATCAGTCCTGGTTGGCAGTTCCTTCAGAATGGACTGGCAGCATGGTTG